TGGCAAGATTTCTTTGTAAACAGCTAGCAGAGTAAAAAGGGAATCCCAGATGACTGCTCTGCCCCTTTTCATACTGCAAAAACACAATTAAGATGGAACAAAGGGGTATACAAACATGTGCCTGATTTTAGAAAAATATTTACTATGTTTATACTAGAAATGCTTAAGACAGATAAGGATATTTATCCTAGAAATAAATAAGATTTTAAAAGTGATTAAAAAAAAGCCCCAAATAAACCTAAACCATTCAACATCCATTAAGGTAAAATAAAGTAAATAAATTCAGCCAATTGGTTATTTCCATATGGTTGGATTTCTTTAAATGGTAATGAAATCATTGCTAAAAAATCCATTGTTATTAAAATAAAAAAGTTGGCTCAGCCTACCAAAATTAGATTTGTAAGTTGCTGGTCATTCCCATAATTAAATCTGTGTCACAAATTTGCAAGAAAAATGGACACTATGACTAATGCATTTACTTGCAGCACTAGTGCTGTCAGGCTGTGTAAATCATTATGCCTGCTAAAGCAGACTAGATAAGAATTCCATACATTTTCATTAACCAGCTAAGCTTTGGGTATATGTGAGAAGCTAACTTTATTCTCTGCTAGCTTTAGCCTGCATTTGGAAGACAATGTAAATAAAAATACTAGCCTTGATTTGGTGAGCCATGTGGCAGCTCCAAAAATTATTTGAGCTTTTTCAACGGCACAAACCAGCTCTATCCCCTCTGAGAAATGGTCAGATAACAGAAAAAACCCACACAGACTTAGTTTGGACAAAGGAGATTAATGGAATGATGGGCACCTGACATGAGTCTCATTTCATCTATTATGTTTCAACAGAGAAAGAAAATCTAGTCCATAACAGCACTGGAGGGACTCTTAAAGAACAGTTGGCTGTTTTCTCAGGATTCCAGTGGTCACCAGAGCAGAGTCCCCAGAATTCTCTACTTTCCTCTTGACTTCCTGTCCCCACAGGCCTTCAGATCTCAGTTTCAGTTCTTTGTTGAAGGTGAAGCTGATGGTTGTTCCTTTCACACCAACTGTTCACAGGTACCAAAGAACCAGCCTGCACCGACCCACACCACAGGCTGGATATTCTTATGGGATTCCCAGACCACAGTCTCAAGCAGAAAGGAGACTCATGAGAGACAAAGATTAGACAAGACTGGCCCAGTCTAGCAGTGCAGAGCAATTTTTGAGGACACAGAGTTCTGGAAGTCCATGTCCCACACACAAGGCATTACATTATCACTGCAAACTGAGTGCAGCTCTCAGCCAAGCACATCTCCAGGGCAGGAGCAGCCTCAGTGACAGCTGGACAAAGTCAAAGGAGCTGAACCACTCAGGCAAACACCATGGAACAACCAGCAGCACAGCATGTTTTGCAGTCTCCTGCCTATTGCCCTGTGATTTGCAAGGACTTGTCGTCTTCTTTTAAAAGCAGAGCAGAAATGCTTAGGAAGCATAGCAATGCATACAACATTAACAATTCCAGTAGACCTACACTTCACATTCCAGGCAATTTCTTCAGCCTTTAGGTGCAAAGGATCCTCTCCTCCAAGTGGAAGCAGCTAACATAGTGCTTTCTATCTTAGCATGTGCATGCAACCTTGGGACAACCAATCACTCTGTATGAGTAAAACACCACCAGATTATATTAAAACCCCGTTAAGAGGAAAATCTGAAATCACTGCTTATGTTTCACAATTATTGTAAACCCAACTGCTTAAATGAGGGGAGGAGATAATGATATTAACTACCCAGCTCAGAGCAATCCTCTGTGGTATGAGCCTAAATATTCTCTTGGCTGAAATTTATGTAAATTGAATTCCTCTATCGTTAGTTATTACTAATCTAGCTATATAAAAACACTTTTCTGTAACAATTAGTTTTTTCAAACACTGGGTTTTAATTAGACCTGAGACATTATTAACCTAAGTCAATAAAATAATGTAAATATGTAGTGTATCATTCCATGTACTGTTTTGTCTGTATATTTATAGGAAGATGGACTTTGGTGGGAGTTAAAAGGAATTACTTTGTGGTTGGCTGGCAGTTTCTGTAAATCTTTACCAGTGGAAACACCCCCAGGCCCCTAATCTAAGTGCATTTCTGCCCATCAAGACATATTTGGCATTTCTACATCTTGCATATCACAAGATGTTCTATTTCATCTGAATAAGCTGATCTCAGTATCATTCTAACATTATACTGAGTATTTCCCTGCAAACATTTTGTTCCACAACTTACTTTAATTTAACTTCTCAACATTATTTCCTAGTCTTAAGGGGAAAAAAAAAGGTGGTGGGGGCAGGAGAGCAATCAGCACAGCACATCTTTCAGCCCTTTTAAATCAGCCTGTTTGACATTATCACACACAGGCACTGGCCCACAGGGCACAGTCTGAAAAGAGAAAACACTGTCCTGGCTTTGTCACGAGTGCCACAACCTGCCCACGTGCTACACATGGTGAGACAAGGGACATAGAAAAACTTCAGCCTTGCTGAGGTCAGAGCCTTCCAAATAATCCCCATAAAGTTTTGGTCACAAAGGTCTGCAACTCCGTCTAAGCCTGTCCACACACAGCTCATCATTTGACACTCCTAAGAAAAATGCAGATGTGATTTAGATTAATCCTGAATTGATGATACAGGAAGGACATAAGTTCTCCACCCATAGCCAAATCCATAAATTAGGCACCAATACAAACTGATGGATTCCCAAAACCACTTTCATTATGTTCTCAGAAACAAGTCAATTATTTTTAAATTTTATAGAACGGTTTTGACTTCAAAGAAAGAAATATATATATATACATATATATACACACACATATGTACTTAATGCTTTGGCAGTTTTTCAACAGCAAGCTTTCTTTGTGAGTGACCACATGCTTGCCAGTGCTCCATATCTGGAGCAGCTCAATTCAAGGTCATGTAGACCCACACCACTGTGAAACCACTGGAAAACAACTTTGCTTACTGCTGACCCTGGCCTACTCTCACATGTCAACCACAAGGTCTATCCTATCAACTTCATAACTGGAAAAGTTTCTAAGAACAAAGCACTCAGTAAACATATTTGTGATTTGCTTTGTGTCATACACATGTATTCCCTACATAATCATGATTTCAAAGTAGAATTACCACAACAAATGTTTAAATGTGTGGATATATTTGTAATTTAATAGCAACCAGTGTCTTTACCATGTTATTCTAAAAAAAAAAAAAACACAACTGTAATTGTTGTTTTATTGAAAAAAATTTTTATTGAAAAAATTGAATTTTTAAAGAAAAATTCAGCTGGTACCACGGTTTCATTTTAGCTGATCTTTAATATTTTTGAAAAGTCTTTTCTGGGAACTTTGTAAGAGTAATGTTTACTGCAATGCCACTCCAACATTTGCAAAAAGACCCGAAGGGAACAAAAAGTGAAATGAGGTAATTACGTGTAAGCAGAACTTTCCAAAGATCATGAAATAAGACCAAAACCAAAATTAGGAGTATTACATGAAAACAAAACTAACTCAGCTTCTTGAGCTCAGATTTCTTCAAAGAACTGCAAACAGCTACTAGAAACTGAAAATATGTCGCTGTTGATTTACTAGGAGCCAGCATTGTAGTCAGATGCAGTGGAGCCTAAATTCATACTTGAAGCCAAAAAGTATCTCCAAGTGTCAGCTGAACTGAGCCTTTAGAAACCTCTTGAACTGAAAGCTGGAGAAGCAGAGAAACCAAGAGCTCGTGCCAAGCAACAAAGAGAAAATATCATTCACATAACACACACAGACTTCAGAGCTTTTCCAACACTTCCACAGTTTGAGGCAGCCCCATAGAAGGAGAATATTACAGGTAACACAAAGGACAAGTAGTTGGGAACAGATATTTTAAATATCAGAGGGTGAGAGGTCATCCATACCCAAAAAACATATATCCACCTTCCTAATTTCAGCCTAGTCCCTCAAAAATGCAGCAGCACAACACAACTGCAAAATGCCATGTGACTTTGTCTCCTGCTAGTACAGTTCCATATACTTAAGGTTCTAAAAGTCAGCTTTTCACAAAATAAAAAAAAAGCCGTGGATAAAAAGTGACCTATTTTGTACTCACATTTTTTATTTCAATTTTGTAATTTGGATTCTTTTAGCATTCATTCATTTTATACATCACAGTATAAAACTGGGATACAAGCCTGGCATCATAAACACTTCTAAACATACATAAATTTAGTAAGAGCAAATTCAATTATTAGCTGCCTAAATGAACAATCAGTCAACACATAAAATAATTTTTTACTTAACATTCATTAGTATCTCTCTAAGCAACACATCAGTAAAAGAAATCTATTCTTCTTTTTTTCATAAATATATTTAGTGTTCTTTACTGTGTCATTTCCAAAGGTTTGTAGATCATCAGGACCACAAATACTGCTTTTGCTTTTTAAAGAAACAGTTATATTTCCAGCTGGATTGATTGCTTTCCCATATCCAGCTATTTTAGTGTGTTCCTCAGAGACATCGAGTGGCTTCACTGACAGTAAAATATGCTAAACAAATGACAAGTCACTGAGTAAATTAGCATCTACTCTCTGATCAGCTGGGTCATGTTTTCTTTTCAAAATCCATGGCCTCTTGATAGAAAATAATGAGTATTTGATGGGCCTTATTAGAAAAATCAATATATTGATGCCCATGTCTGAAACATCTGCATAATAACAGAATCTGTTAACCCATTAAGGAGAAAATTAAGATGTGTTTACACATTATTAATTTACCATGAGCAGAGACAATTTATTCATTACCTTTCTCAAGAGTTTAACAAAAAGAAAAGAAATTGCAATATCCATATTTAAGGGCATGGTGACATAAACTGGAAGATGATTCAAATTTTTGCCATCTGAATCCACCAACAATTATGTGAAAAAATCCAAACACACCAATGATACCGTTAAAAATGAGACTATTAAAGCACTTGCTAGAAATACTGTGTTACTTACCAAAAAACTTCCAAAAGCAGAATTAAATATTGCAGCTGCCTAGAGAGAAAAAAAAGGATAAATATCACCAATGGTGCAATAGCTACAGTGCAGGAACAAAATGTCCTTCCCCCACCCACCAAGCTATTAGAGTCTCCAAATACACACATACAGAGACCATTAGGCAGTTAGCCACTGCTTAAAAAATTGCCAGTCGCCTGTAACTTATGAAGACTGATGGATTCTGGTTTATGCATTCATAAATAATGTACTGAAGGGGACAAAAGCAGGAGGAGAAGAAAATCTTTGCCGATAGACTGAAAAGGAATATCCACAAGAACTAAGAATATTATACAGAAGCTTGGTCTCACTACTCGTGCTCTAATTTGCCAGGTACATTTTCATATACTGACCCATTAATTAAAAAAAAACAACATTACCTGATTTAACTAAAACACTGCATTTTTATACACTTTAAAAAATATTAATGAAATATTAATCTGGTAAATAAACTACTTTAATAGTTCATCATAATAAAGTATTGACAGAGAGAATTTCCTGTAGCTTGACAAACAAATTTAAAATAGGAATAACAAAAAACTCAACAAAAAGAAATCCCACAATCTCCGGTACTATTGAGGCCAAAATGCCATTACTTTTCACTCCAAAGTCTTTTAAAATAAGAAAATAAACAATTTTGATAATGACTTAAGAAGTGTTTGTGCTTACCTAAATATCCAGGAAATACAAGATAGCAGTATTATTTCTTATTATGAACTCATTAAATTCCAGGAAGTTAAAACTTGAGTCTTGTATAGCTTTCCCCAATTACCAAGAAAGAAGAGAAACTCTTGTATGGCAGCCAGTCTGATGATGAAAAGCCACACAGCAAAGGTAAGAGGAAAGGGAGGAGGGAAATCTACATTTACGTGCTGGTTTAGAGTCAAATTAATCACCCTGGACACTTGCAGCCACAGATTAATAACAAGAAGCTGTTAGTGAGTTGAGCAAGTTTGAATAAAGTCCAAAATCAGGGCAGGAGCAGTAGCTGAACCTGCCTTCTGCTCCATAAGAGGATGCAATGAAAATGAATGGGTAATGAGATCCTTGGCTCTAGAGAGCTTAGCTTTCTTATTCAAGTTCATAATTAATTCAAAGCTTTGATAATTTCATTAGATTCCTCCTCTGCTGGCCCTATCAATAAAAGATGGCACTGGACCACAGCTCCTCAGTGGCCCAAATACAAAAACAAATGCAGACTGGGAAACCCTTGCTGACTTGCTCACTACCAGGGACAATGGCATATGGCACTCCATGTTGTGGAGGGAGCATCTGAGTAGATACAGCTAAATAAAACATTATAGTTGACAGTTGTAAACTACAGTAACATATTTTAACACCTCTCTCTCATCAGCATTTCTTTTTTGAACATGAAAAAAAAAAAAAAAAAAGGCACAAGTCCAAACAGCTTCTCTTGCCAGAGATCATAGCTGAAAGGAAGCGTGAGTAGTATAAACAATTCTTCAACAAGTGTGAATTAAATCAGGATTTCCTACTTGTATTTGAAGCTGTGCAACTGACACTTTCACGTAGCAAGGCAAAGACAAAATATACTCATCCAAACACACCTAGAACATGGCTACCAATCCTGATTTGGGGATCATCTAGAGATATCACATTATTTCACTTAAAACAGGCTGCAATTCCACTTTCAGGAGAAATTCTGTGTCTGGAAAGGTGTAAAGGAGAGATACTAGATGGTGGTATTTTGCCCATTATCAAACTTCTTTTATTCCTTCCTGATCCATCTGGTAGATATCTGGATTTTTTAAATAATCTCAAGCATGTAACAGTGACTAAGACAACAACCTTGGACAAATTTTATATTTCAGTTGTTTTACTAGTCATGTGCAAATGTCACAATTCACAACCACTTCTGGAGTACACTAGTTTACAATTTTTAACTCCCTTTTTCTGAAGTGTCAGAAATTATCCAGAGCAGATGATTAAACACTCATTACAGACAAAAGAAGAGAAAAAAATACAGGAAGACTGCATATTAAGATACAATTATCCAGGTTATTTGCCTCAGCAAGGAAGGATTTACATATGTCAATTACTCTATCTGCAGTATTCGTTGTAAACATTTTCCCTGCAAAACAAACTTAGAAGTAATTTCTTCTCATAGTCACAAACCTGGGGCTTATATTTGTGATTCTGGTTCAGTTTAAACAAACTGCTAGTAAACTGAATCAAGTGCTCCAATTTGTAATTAAACATACTTAGTAGCATAACCCTGTAGAATTTAAACACTTTTGTGCTTCCAACTCCCTTCTATCAAAGGGATACATACCTCACAGGGCATTGTCAAAATTAATTCATTCCTTAAAAAGCACTCTGAAATCCTTAGAGGGATGATACAAATAAACATTAGTGCTGACACATGATACAGCCAGGCTCTTCATTTTCTATTTGAAACATTTATTAGCCACTATTATTGCATCACTTTTTCTAGTGTTTGCTCTTTTTGTGCTTCAACAGATATCAGACTGTCTGCAGCCAGCTTAAATGAAACAATAAAACATGAAAAGATTTGGAAGTTTTTATAATACTCCAAGTTCAGATTTGCATGTGTTTGCAAACCATTCATTGCACTTACTATTAGTATGAGGGGAGAGCTCTATAAAATCCACAGTGAAGTCCTTTCAAAAGGTGAGTGCATAGCCATGTATTGAAATGTAAGGTCAGACCACGTTCAAAAGCAGCAGAACTAACAAGAAGACAAATTTCTATTTTTGCACCAATTCAAGAGACATGACAAAGTCACTGCCAGGACTCTCAACAGACAAGTACAAGAGCATGGGCAGCATCACTTGAGTTAACAATTGTACATATTAGCTCCATTAAACAACAAATTCACTTATTGTTGGGCAGGTACAATTTCAGACAACTCTGCATGGCACTGGGATTAGGGAATGCTAAGGGTCTACATTTCCAAGGAGAATTCCAAATGAGAAATCACCAGCCCACATCAGAAGGACACCTATCTGGCAGCACTTGGCAGAATCTTTTCTCATACCAGAGTCTAGCACAAAGCTTCAGCCCTTCATCTCTCCCCCTTTTCCTGGAAATATGTATGGAAAACACTGCTTAGATTTCTACAGTGGCAGCAGCGAGATCCAAGTCCTCCAGGCAACAAAGGCTGGTAAAAGATGGAAGAAAAGCGCAAAGCCACTACCAAGGGGCTGAGCCTGTCCCTCCAGGTGTGTATTCAAATGCAGCATCAAATACATGCAGCAGTCAAGTACATGTGACTGGGCAGCAAATCAAACAAGTGTGCTTAGAATTCAAGAATTAAATACAGAACACATTCTGAATTTTGTTTCATTGCCTTGGTTTTGGTACCAAACTAAACTGTCTTGGATTTATTAGGCTAGATATTGTTTTGATAATAACATAGCCAGACTACATTAAACAACAGGAAAACACATCCTGGCCACATTTGGGACACCTGGGTCAAACAGCAACATTTTATCATTATCAGCAGGATTTCAAAGAAATTGTTATGCACAACTAGATTGGAACTTTACTGCAGAGCACAGGGAAAGTGCAGCGCCTCACAGCTTTGTATGTGGGCCTCAGAGGAAAATGTAAGAGATTTTCTCACCAATATGTGTGTAGTGCTTCAATACCAAAACATTTGATTCTGCAGTGTCATTTGGCAACCCTTAGGGAGACAGCCTTCCTAGATGTATTTAAACCTATGCTCACCCCCAGGCACCCCCCAGCTGGGACAGCACAGCCCATGGACACCAGGGCCTGGCTGGCCCCAAGCCATCCCTGCTCTGAGGAAAGGACACTGCAGGGTCAAGGCCACAGATGCAGAGTAATGAAAGCAAACAGCCCCAGAACATCCTGGGAGGAAGCAGCCTGGGCATCATCCAGAGCTGTTGTGTGTCTGTCTGCCATTCCCTGCAGTTAAAACCTGAGCACTAGGGGGATGTACCACACACTAGTGGGATATGCAGCTCAAGCAGCAGCAACAAGACTAATTATCCTATTTAACACACAAGGCACAGTGAAGGAGAAAGAAAAACAGAAGAGCAGAAAAGAATTGGGAAGAGACAAGGACTCTCACAGTTCTAGTGCAGGATTATGCAGTAGAGCACAGAGAACAGAATGTGGTAGTGCAAGATTTTACACCATCCATACTATTATTGTAAAATTTAATACAACCATTTGACAGAAGAAGAAAGGGAAAAAAATAGAAAGACTAAATAAAGTGATGGAAATGATCTGACCAAACAGGACAGAAAAGGATATTTTATCTACCCAAAAAGATCAGTGTAGTTTGAAAAGGTGGAAGAAGGCAGGACATTAGAAGTAACTTGAATGAGTTGGCAGAGTCCCTTTAAACAACTCCTTCAATCTCCTATTAAAAATAAAATCTCCTGTAGGTGTTACCACAGCTCATGTCTTACCTGCTGTTTCCAATAACAAGATGTTACATTTCTGTAGAAAGCTATTTGCCACAGCACTGTTACTGCAAACAGAATATAAATATACCTAATAAGGTTTAATCTGTGTTGCTGTTCATAACTATTCATCTGAGTTCAGAAAGGAAAAAAAAAATATATTCAAGTTCCTGGTTTTGAGCACTAAATTGAATCAGGTGTCCTCTTCTCTTAAGAAAATTAAGTTGCTTTTGTGCAAGAGTGTTTTAATGAGAACAGAGCGTGCCGACATTGATAAATGGCAATGACACCAGAGAGAGCATGTAAGCAGGACAATATGTGCATGTTACAGTCTTACAGGCTATTTTTCACTGACTATCCTGAATGACTTCCCTGTTTCTTAAGGGGCCTATTAATCTCAAATTTAGTTATTACACAACGTTTATTTGAACATATATTCTGTGGATGATGACAGTTAATAAAGGAAATCTTTTACAAGCTGTATTTTTACATATTGTTCCAACTGCAGCTCCCAGTCGTTCTGCTGTATTGATGGAATAACCTCGTTATGATGCAGCTTTATAAAAGGCACATATATTCAGATTC